GGGGGGGTTGCCATGTGACCTTGGCCAGGGCTCTGCTAACTGTGTCCAGGTGGTAAATGAGCGAATCTGTGGGTCGGCCTTCTCCCGGTGCTGTTCCGGGACCTTCTGAATTTGCTGTCACCGTGTGCTGCCTGTTCCGCTTCTCTTCTGTCTGACTGTGAGATTCTTTCTCCCCCTACAGCAACTCATGAGGGAACGTCAGCAGATGGCCAGCCGGCCTTTCTCCTCCGTGGACGTGGCTCTGGAGGTGGGAGGTGCGCAGATGGAGCTGCTGCACGGCTCAGCTGAGGTGGGTGTTGGCGTTCGCGGCGTGGTGGTGGGGTGGGGGGGGGTTGTTACGCGGGCATCACCTCTGCTCCGATGGATAACGACTTTAGCAGACCCCCTTGGAGCACGGCATGTTGATTGCTCCTGGAACTGTCCATAATGCGCTTTCTACCTGGACTTAGCAAGGCCTGCGTGAGGCGGCCTACTCTGCGACTGTGGCCTAGCTTGCCAGGCCTTTCATCTCATTCTCAGACCTTCTTTCTTTGCAGAGGGACCATTAGTGGCCCTGTTTCAGCAGGTATTCTTGGTGATCCTCCCCTAAGCAGACTTGCTTGCTTTCCAAACTGAGGAATTTTTATGTCATTTTTACGCCATTTGGCATCAGTGTGACCTGAGATCTTGCCACTGCATCCTGATGTCATCTTCCTGTCCGGGCTTCTCCACCCCACCCTTCTGCATCTTAACTAAGGAGATCCCCTCCCTCTCCGCCCCTCATGCCCCCTTGCTGGATGTTTCTCCAGAAGCAGTAGGATAGAAAATAGTGTGATGTATTATTTTTTTCTGGGGGTTAATTTAGCAGCATCTGTCTGTATTTAATGTGGTCTGTCTCCCGTAACTGCATCATAAAGGACAGCATTTAATGCGCAGTGGTTCCAGTGCGCGTGATGCAGGTCATAAGCAGGCGTTTGGGTCTGGTGCCGGGGTTTTCCGTCTCTCCTCTGCCATTCCATGATCTGTCGTCGTCAGCGGCTTTTACCTCCTGGCTTCATTGTGTCCTCGAAACAGCAATAGCTGCCAGGGTCTTTAGACGGGTTCAGTTTTAGTCTGGAGGTCACCGCGCCTGAAATGGAGGTCACTGCGCCCGAAATGGAGGTCACCGCATCCAGCTTGGAGGTCAGCAAACAGGAGCTGGTCTGTGTTTAGTGACTACGTCTGCAGCTCTGTCATTTCTCCTCTCTTACAGTCTGTTTAATGCCCAATTTGCTGAAGTCCTGTGTCTCTAAGCCCCATAAGGGTTTTTGCCTGTGTGCATCACTCCAGCTCAGGTTATACGGATTAACAAATGTCACATTCTCCCCCTAAAGCTTCTTCTGGGTGCCACCAGTGTCCAGCTCTTAATGGCTGTATCCACTTAGCTGCAGTTCACAACTCTGTAATTATGCTTGACCTTTTAGTCAACAGCCTGTGCTCAGGGACGCCGTCTCCAGAGACACCGGTGAACGCCATTGGCTATGGAGTGCCCAAGAGGCTCCTGGGAATGTGTGCTGCCTCTTCAGACTTGTGCCAAGGCCCTCGGATGTGAGCTGCAGCTTCCAGCTCTGCTTGGTGCCTTTGTGTTGCTGTGGCCCCTGCTCTCCTCCCTCTCTCCTCATGTCCCTCTTAGCTCTCCTCCCTCTCTCCTCATGTCCCTCTTAGCTCTCCTCCCTCTCTCTCCATGCCCCCCTTAGCTCTCCTCCCTCTCTCCTCATGCCCCCCTTAGCTCTCCTCCCTCTCTCCTCATGCCCCCCTTAGCTCTCCTCCCTCTCTCCTCATGCCCCCCTTAGCTCTTCTCCCTCTCTCCTCATGCTCTCCTTCTGCTCCTCTTAGCTCTTTATTCTACTTGCTTCACTACTAATTACACCTCATTACAACCATGTGCTGATCATTTTCTTAGATTAGATCAGTAATAATTGAAATTAGTTGCCAAATAATTCTTGTTGTGGTAAAATACCACATATGCATCTTTTGTGAAGTGAGTCTTCCATATGCAGGTGTGCCGATATAGAGGCTGCCTCTGAGTGCTCCCTGCCTGTCCAGCTTTAGGGTCAGACAGCTGTTTGATTCCTGGAAGCCACGTAGCAAGCATTTTGTGTCAGCAGTGCTGAATGGAGACTTATCTTCAGATAGGATGCTCAGGTGTTGTTTGAAGACCTGTGCTCTGTAGGTCCGGGAGGGTGGAGGACAGTGCCCCCCTCTCAGCTCAGTGTCTCAGGCCTGGGGTCACTGCTACCCCATAAAGAGGGACCCCCATCAGCATTACAACAGGCTGCTAGCTGCTGTGGTGATGGGTTTCTACGCGGGAGAGGCAGGCGAGAGATGGGTCCGCAGTTCTGTAAATGGCGAGTCATGAATCAGTTTCATATCTGCTGCTTTAATTCCATGTATTTACTCTGCAGCTGGTGTGATTTAAGGGTCTCAGCTCAGTGGCGGGAAGATGAAGGGCCCTGGTCCGTCCATGCTGTGAGCCTTGGGCTCATGGTCAGTAGGGCTCCGTCAGCAGTCACTAACGTACCAGCGCAAAATGAGATCAGCTCCCGGGCAGAGAGGAGGAGCCATGCAAGATGGATTTGTGTCCTCCGGCCACCAGGGGCAGTCATGATACGAACCCCCAGCCTTGTCACCATTTTAAAGACACGGGCTCATACCTGAGAGCAGGTGAAAACGCAGAATGTCCTTAAGTACATTAACTGCGGTGCATGATCAGCCCTCCCTGTGCATCATGATTCCTGTATCCAGCACTTGGAGCTGATCAGCCCTCCCTGTGCATCATGATTCCTGTATCCAGCACTTGGAGCTGATCAGCCCTCCCTTTCTGTCTCATTCTAATACCACCACAGTGGCGTTCTTAAGTAATTGTGTGTGTCGGGTTTCCTTTGCAAGATGTAAATTCCCACAATTTTTCCTGAGAACGCTGCGTGTGTGTTTGTGTGTGTGTGCGTGCACGTGTGTGTATGCATGTGTATGTGCGTGTGTGTGTGCGCGCATGTGCATTAGTGCATGTGTGTGCACGTGTGTGTCCGCGGATGTGCGTGTGCGTGTGTGTGTGTGCATGCGTATGTGTGAGCACACGGTCCCTTTGAGGGATTTGCTCGGATGGGCTTTACCTGTAAGTCCTTTAGGTAAGAGGCAATGTATGCCTGAGCGTTTGCCTTTGAGATTAGCCGCCGCAATCGCTAAGCGCCTTGGTCTCTCGCTGTCATTCAGCTCTGCTGCCGCCGCTCGTGATGAAGCGCTGCAAACGGTCGCAGTCGGGGTCCCTCGTCGTGAGCCCTGCGTGTGGCTTTCATCTTTTTAAAAATGTCCTTCGCGGAATAAAAAAATGACGTAAAAGGGGGCGGGCACTGCAGTCACCCGCAAGTCTCGCAGCAGCTCCCGCTTTTGAGGTCGGTCTCCCCTGCCGTCTCCATCCCCAGGGAGCTGGTTTTTGGGGAGCAAAGCCATCATGTGATTGATGATGTGGCATGCGAGGACAGACTGAGGGTGACCCGCCCATTCGGAGATTCTCCCTCCCTCCATCCCAATCGATCGATATCGCTGCTTTCCGGTTTCCCTCCGTCTTTAGCTTTCATGTGTGTCAAGCAAATCCAAACATTCCTGAAAGGAAAGGCGTCTGAAATGGAGGAGAGCGGCGCTGGGAGATGAACGTGAGCCTGGTTTCACTCCCCTTCTCCGCTGTAATCTATGAGATGATATCCTGTTTAATCTGCTCCTAATGGTGAAGAGAACGCACAGGATATGCTCCATAAACCAGCCATCGCCTCCTGCCTCTCTTATGCTCTAATTATAGCCCTGACCACATACACATTCCATTATATTCATTGCTTTAATACATGTATCAAGAGAGAATAGATCAGCTTTCTATTTGCAGTAAATCTCCGGGATGTGGTGACACCGGAGGTCTCCTCGTTCAGGCAAACCGCGCTTAGCAACTGCAGCTCCTGCGGCTTATGCAGCTCCTGTGGCTTATGCAGCTCCTGTAGCTCCTCTGGTTTATGCAGCTCCTGCGGCTTATGCAGCTCCTGCGGCTTATGCAACTCCTGTGGCTTATGCAGCTTCTGCAGCTCCTGCAGTTCCTTGCCTGCTCCTCTCTGCATCCTGATGACACCGTAGTGATGGCAGGCTTCTGGCTCACCTCCCCATACCGGACAGTATCCTGCTTGGTACATTTTGGCAACACCAAGAACACGTTCTTTGTGTTGTTTTTCAGAATATTTGTTTTTATCATCTATAAAGTGTTGATGAATGTTCTGCTGTTAAATTGTGTAAAGAGGGAGGCTGTCTGGCTCGTTTCTGTCAGCCCAATGCAGTTTTCATTTGCTGCGCCGTTTGAATGTTCCCCGAATTTGCCGGAATTAAATTAAATTTAATCTGTCTGGAGCTCTGACGATGCAAATGAAAGGACGGCCAAGGCCTTTCCAGTGACCTCATCAGCGGAAAAGCCGCGACATTTAGCTATCCCGTTTTTAACCGCTAATTATATGCGCCGGTGCAAAAATTACTTTTTTTTTTCTTCCCCCTCCTGTTCGCACTGAGTTGGTCTGATCTGGGCGATACTCCCTGAATGGGATTTCACATCCGAATGCTGCGTCCCGCTGCATGCTGCTGCTTTTTTGGTGTGAATTATAGCGGCTGCTCGTTCCGGTAGCTCAGCGAGCCATGCTGGGGTCTCTCCCGGCCCACGACACAAAGGCTCTTTCATCAATGGGTTTCTGATGAATATGGCCCTTCCAGAAGTTTGTGATAATGTATAATTGTGGCATTTAGCCTGTCTGCGGATCAAAGTGTCTTTGTGAGGAGAAATAAAGCTGCAGACTCGCATGTTATGCCTCTAATGAAATGGCAGCGCTGCTGCGTGGTGCTGCTGGGGGACCCGGCGCAGATCTCCACTAAGTGCTTCGTACTCTGGCCCTCGTTACGATCTCACGTATGCCGGGACGTCTAATTGCCAGGGAGAGTCTGAGCTCATTAGTGTCAAGCGGGCAGTGGGAGCAGCGTTCGGGGAGATGGTCCCGCTGGCTGCCAGTCTAAGGGGCTCGTCTCATAGAGGATAACAAACAAAAACGCTCTAATTAAAACATCCCCCCGGTCTGCTTTTCTCCAGAGTAAAGCGCTTTAGCGTTTCTCACCCGTCCCGGCGCAGTAACTCGCTCAGGTGTCGGATTCTCACCACCACGCTTGGCCGCGCTCGGGTTCTCTGGCGAGGCGTCTGAAGCCGTTCGCCGCGTTCCGCTTGGAGTGTGACGGCAGCGCTGCGCCGCCTCA